GGCTGTACTAATTTGCATTCCCACCAACAGTGTAAGAGGGTTCCCTTTTCTCCACACCCTCTCCAGCATTTATTGCTTGTAGACTTTTGGATAGCAGCCATGCTGACTTTCTTGAAGAGATTTCTAGTCTTTCCCATTCTATTGTTTTCCTCTATTTCTTTGCATTGATGGCTGAGATAGGCTTTCTTACCTCTCCTTGCTGTTCTTTGGAACTCTACATTCAAATGGGTATATCTTTCCTTTTCTTTATTGCTTTTTGCTTCTCTTCTTTTCACAGCTATCTGTAAGGCCTCCTCAGACAGCCATTTTGCTTTTTTGCATTTCTTTTTCTTGGGGGTGGTCTTGATTCCTGTCTCCTGTACAATATCACGAACCTCTGTCCATAGTTCATCAAGCACTCTGTCTATCAGATCTAGTCCCTTAAATCTATTTCCTACTTCTACTTTGAATACTGGAAGACTTACTATCTTTAAAATGTCCATATAGATAGGATTTTAAACATAAAAATAGAAAAATGAAGCTATACAATCCTTACTTTTAAAGTGGAATCAAGTTCATGCTGTAGTTTTAGTTTTGTTTAAGAATATTTCCAAAGTAGCTGCTTCTCTTTATTCCCCACTGCCCCTCAGTCGTCTTCCTCAAAACCCTATACCTTCCTGTTATAGAATACTGTTAAAACCTTGGTTAGAGAAGTGCTGCGTATTGCGTGCATTTAAAGAAAGGTAAAAGAGAAGGAATCACCTTTTTCAAAGAAAATAATAATTAATACAACGATTATTTCTTTGGAGTCAGACTCATCTCTTTCCCCCACCTCATTTTTACAGTGTTGTTGCTGGTTTGTTTGTTTGTTTGATTGATTTTTAACTTTTAGCATAAGAGTTAAATCTATTTCTAAAGGAACGACCTGAAATTTTACATCTCCAATGCAGTTATGCTTTTAACATTAGTTCACAAAATGGATGGTAACAAGTCATGCTAAAAAAGTGTGGACATAGTATTAAATGGTAATGGGACATCTGTTCAGGATCCTCTGGGTAGTGGTCAATTTGCAGGAAAGCCAGCTGTGAATCACTTGCAGTTGAAGACGCATATTTCTCATAAAATGATAGAATAATTAGATTCCCCATGAGGAAAAATATTCAGATGCACAGAGCAGTCTATTGACAAGTAGTAGAGATTTTTAAAACTAATTTATTTGGCTGTGCTGGGTCTTCACTGCTGTGCTTGGGCTTTTCTAGTTGCGGTGAGCGGGGACTGTTCTTTGTCGCGATGCGCAGCTTCTCTCTGTCATGGCTTCTCTTGTTGTGGAGCAGTCTCTTGGTGTCCAGGTCTCAGGAGCTGCAGCGCACAGGCACAGCAATTGCATTTCCCAGGCCCTATAGCTCATGGGCTTAGTTGCTCCACGGCACATGGGATCTTACCGGACCAGAGATTGAATCTGTGTGTCTAGTATTGACAGGCAGATTCGTATTCACTCCACCACCAGCGCAGTAGAGATTTTAAAAAGGCTAACAAATAAAACAAGTATCTTTTATTAGGATTACTACCTTCAGGCAGGACTCCAAAATTATTTCACCTCATTTCTTTCTATTGGCATCTGTTCTGCAGTCATCTCAATGAGTGTCTTCAATTCCTCCATCTTCTCTGCATCCACACTCTTCCTGTGGTCTCATTGTGGGTGGATTGCCCTTCCCTAGTCCTTGAATTTGGGCTTGGTTGTGGGACTTATTGGGCTCATGGCATGTGAGCAGAAGTGACAATATGCCAGCACTGAGCTTAGGTCTGAAGAGATCCTGTTTGACCACCTGCATCTTGACCTTTGACATTGCTGTGAGTAGAACCAATCCTGCTTTGCGTGCAGGTCCAAGATTCACAAAACACACCTGTTGCAAACCTCGACTTGCAGAGCCACCACCACATACCACAGCACCGCCTGTCCTGTCCGTCCGTGACAATCAGTGACTATGGTGTAAGTTTCTGAGCATTTTTGATTGCTTAGTACACAGCACTACTGTACAAATTGTTGACCCATACGAGTACTCTGGGTCAGGAAGATCCCCTGGAGGAGGGTAGGACAACCCACTCCAGTATTCCTGCCTGGAGAAGCCCGTGGACAGAGGAGCCTGGCAGGCTATGGTCCATAAGGTCCCAAAGAGTCAGACACGCCTACAGTGGTTTGGCACACATGCAGACTTAAGTTTAACTTGTTGTTACTGTTTTAAGTTTTAATATTAGATATGTATTCTGAGCTGTATAACATTTTTAGTTTTATATAACTGGAATAATTACAGGTTTTATCTTTTGTCCCAATTTTCATTGTTTATTAATGGGAAAAAGAAATATGAAGTTTCAAGTGAAAGAGGGCTTTGTTTTATTAACAATTACTGCCATAGGCAGTACTACATATGTTCATGTACTTATTAAAATGCTAATGTTGAGTCTGATTTTTCTCTTAGACCTTCACATTCAGAGCAGCATTTCAGCACTGGATAGGCTGATCTTGTAAACTGTAAGTCAAAAATCAAGATATTACCAGTTAATTCTGTTTTGAAACAGCATAATATAGAGCATTAGACTGAGAGTCAGAAGGCCCAGAACCCACCATTTGTTATGCTACCAATTACCTGTTCTTATAACTACTTGAGCCACATATCCCTTAAGACTATAAAGTTCTATACCATTTTCTGATTCTGGACCTTTCACTTAGTTGTGTCAATTCACAGTAATGTCAGAAAATGAAATTCTGACAGTGGTGTCATTGATACTATTAAGTATGGGAGAGACCAAGAAGGTGTCTACAGAGACTTTTGTGGCTGCTCAAGTACCTCTTCAATAAGATTGATTTAAGAAAGGACATGTAAAAAAGATAAAAAGAAAGCCATGTGACCAAAGGGAAATGATGCTAATAAAGCTAAATCTCAGAATGAGATGAAACTTATGAGACATGATAAATTTAAAATAAGATGAGTTATGATGAGAATGAGGAGAACAAAGATGGTATTGGCTCATTGACTGGAGAACCTAAGACCCAGGCACATGTAGTCCCTACACTGGACCCTGTGCTTTCAGAGGCTCACATGCTGGTCTGCCTCTTGGAGCAAAGAGATCACGAGATTTAGGGGATTCCCTCACATGGAGCAGACCTCTTATCCTTAGACCGTGATCCAGGTAGCTTGGAACTCTGAAATTTCCTTCCCTCAAATCCTGTGTTTTCAGTGCCTGCACAGGCCTCTTCTCTGGATTTGTCCTCACAAGGGTTGATGGCCAACACATAGCTGTTTCCAGGGAATGGGGCATGGTTTGAATGGGCTGATGTGTGAAGGTATACAGGATAGAAGGAGGCTAGGAAGACAAGTGAGATGGGCAATAGGCATATAATCTGTGCAGTCACAGGAAAGAACCCTACACTTAGTTTAGTTTAGTGTGCTGCTATTGATGTCTTGATACTCCTTAATAATTCCACCTTTGAGTTTGTTTTCCAAAAGTGGAGTCTAATAAGACAATGGAGCATGCATATAAGCAGAGGAGATATACACAATATGCATGCTCACTACTGTTCCTTGCCACCCTATTTGTATGCCAGCATTCCTAGTGCCCCATGGGCATAAAATTTCAGTGAATTCACAATGCATGAAAGCTCAGTGAGACTCAGAGCAAGTGTAGGTAAGCATATTAGGTCTATTACTAAAGACCTGAGAGGCCATGCTTTCCATTTGAACCAACTTGCTTTGAACATAGAAAGCATTGCTGTTTTAAGAAACATTAATGACCAAGGGAGCCTATCATATTTGTTCCTATTTGTATTATCTCTCTTTAACAGCCAGCTACTTACACTAAAAGTGATGGCATGAAAGGAAAGAGAAAGATAAGGCAATTGGTAGCCCCTTTCCTGGTTAACCCTTCCTTACTCATTAATAAGGTAAAAGAGATTTTTGGTGAATGTGCATATATGAAAAAGTGAACTAAGAAAGTTTATTTTGTGCAGTGTTTTCATTGTGGTAAAGATATATAATTCATTATATAATTCATTTTTGTGTGTGCACATATTTGCACACACAAAAATGAATCATGTAATTTAGGTAATTTTGCATAAAAGTTAAACGCTCTTATAGTCATATTTAAAACTGGCATGGTACAACATAAGGTGCCATAGAAAGATTTTACAGTATAAAGATATTTGCGTTTGAAATTGGCATTATGTACTTAAAGGACATAACATTCAGGAGAATAATTTAAAACTCCAGTTTTCTTTCCTTTTTTAATCAGTTTTGGCTGTGCTGGGTCTTTGTTGCCGCACAGGCCGTTCTCTGGCTGCAGAGAGCAGGCGCTCTTCTCCAGTTGTGGGCCCAGGCCTCTCATCGCAGCAGTTTCCCTTGTTGTGCTCGTGGGCTCAGCAGTTGTGGCTCCCAGACTCTAGATGATAGGCTCAGTCACTGTAACTCATGGGCTTTGCCACTCTGATGCACGTGGGATCTTCCTGGATCAGGGGTTGAACCTGTGCCTCCTGCATTGGCAGGTAGACTCTTCATCACTCAGCCAGCAAGGAAGTCCAGTTTTTGTTTTTATTTAAATAGCAAGTACAAAACACCCGTGTTAAGTCGAGAAAGAGAAAGACTGCAGAAGAAAGGGGAAAACTTCATGCTCAAATGTCTTTAGTGACTTTGACTTTTTTTATACTTTATTACTAATGGGCCTAAACATTCTTATTTTGCACTGTGCCATACCAAGTATGTAGCCTCTGTTGGGTGGGCCATGGGTGGGAGGTCACCGATGAGGACTGGCTCCTCCCGTATCAAAATTGTAACCAGCCCTTCCAAGTTTTTATTAAGGCATATCTCTCACGACAAGAGGATATTAAACATACTTAACAGATTTGGGCAGCTATTTAATTCTAAGTATTTGGGTATATGTTGTGTAGCAGTCCATATTTTCTCTTGTTTCTGGCCCTGTAGTGATTATCTGTGGGTTGTTGTTTGAAGTCAACGGTACTATGAAAATAAAACAGAGGAGTTTGGGTTTTGGAGCACTGAAGTAAGACGCTGGTTGTCTCCAGTAAATCCAACTCTGGCAATGACAGAAAAATAGAGTTTCTACATAGAAACATATGTAGATCTGAAAAATGAATGTAAGCCCCTACAGAAACTCCGGGGGAAATGGAGGTGGTTGTGACCTGGCATAGGATGGAAGAAGGAGCCTGAGTTAGTATAGGACTGGGAGCCCCCATTGAAACACTGGTCAGGAGAAAACTCAGGAGTGAAGTTGCTTTAAGAAAGCAAAAAGCAGCAGCCACCCAGCATAGCTTGGTTGGTCAGCAACTCTAGGACAGTATTAAAGTCTAGCTTATGTATCAATAATCTGCCTGAGTCTTCATAGTTACATTCTACTTTTTTCCCCTAGATTCTGAATGTCTCCTGACCAGTGTTTCATTGGGGGCTCCCAGTCCTATACCTACTTAGATTCTGAATTATTGGAAGTTAGAAGCCCTTGAAGGAGAGCTGTGTTCAAGAAAGTCAGAAAGGAGTTATGCTGAAAGGTAGAGTTGCACACTTATTTGGAATTTGGCAACAAATAGGTAAAGTCAAACCCAGATCTTTGCTCCAGGACCCATCCACTCTGGCAGATCTCCCTTTAAGTCACTGAGAAAGTCACAAAATGGAGCCTGGGCTTTAGCCCCCTTCCTGAGTACACATCGGCAATCTACCAAGTAGTGGTAACATTCAATGCTTCTTATAGGGAACCTACAAATAGAATGACCACTTCATTTATCATCCAAGTTGGGACATTTTGACAGTGAAAGGGGCGCAACTAATAACTACCTTGGCTTGATAGGTATAAACTGGGAATGTCCCAGGCTAACCATGATGGTAACCCTATGCAAAAGTTATATTTCTATGAAAGAAACTGAAAGTGAAAGTCACTCGATGGTGTCCAACCCTTTGGGACCCCATGGACTATACAGTCTATGGAATTCTCCAGGCCAGAATACTGGAATGGGTAGACTTACCTTCTTCTCCAGGGGATCTTCCCAACTCAGGGATCAAACCCAGGTCTCCCACATTGCAGGCAGAATCTTTACCAGCTGAGCCACAAGGGAAGCCCAGGAATCCTGGAGCGGGTAGCCTATCCCTTCTCCAGCTGATCTTCCCAACCCAGTAATTGAACCAGGGTCTCCTGCATTGCAGGCAGATTCTTGACCAACTGAGCTATCAGGGAAGCCCAAGTTAGAAAAAAACATCCTTTCTCAATGAAAATTTAGAAAAACATACTATCTACAACATGGACAAACTGTTAAAAACAACATGTCTAGACAATTAGAGATAGGCAGTTACTCTAGACCCAAGAATTAGGAAAAGACAGCACCATATAGTCTGACTTGACAAGTTGATGGCACTTTGGGGTAAAGAAAGTTCACTTCAGTTTCTTGGAGGATCAGCCCTGTGCCAGGGCATCAACTTGGTAATGGAGTACAGGTGTGTGTCAAGTCCCCAGGTCCCCTTGACCAGGCATGTTTATGCAATGTTCAGTTGGTATAGTCATGTGTGATGATCCTGCTTATGACTGCAGGAGAATATAAGCTTTAGGAGATACATCAAGCTGTCTGAGGAGCCTGAATGCTATAAAATGTATACTGAAATAATACACGTGGGCCCATAGTGCAGTGGTAAAGAATCAACCTATCAATGTAGGAGATGCAAGAAATGCAGGTTAGATCCCTGGATGGGGAAGATCCCCTGGATGAGGAAATGGCAGCCCACTGCAGTAGTCTTACCTGGAAAATCCCATGGACAGAGGAGCCTAATGGCCTACAGTCCATGGAGTTGTAGAGAGTCTGACATGACTTAGTAACTGAGCATACAAGTCAATAATAATCAATGCCAGATTAGAAAATCAGCATGCTGAATACTTAAAAAGTAATATGGGAATCTCCTCATAATTTGAAACAGGAACAACATTGGTGAATAACATGAAAGGGTCCTGGATTAAAACCATTAAGTGGTCCAAATGGGATAGGAAACAGGGGAAAACAACACAATAAATTTGTAAGAAAAATTAAGAACATTTCAAAGAAATATTCAAAAAGTTCAGAAAAAGAAAAATAGTAGATGAACTGTAAATCAATAGGTGTCATATGGACATCAGGTTTCTTGATCACAAATGCAGGCCAAAAGATAATGGAGTAATAATTTCAAACCTTTGAAGGAAAATAAATGTGATCCTAGAATTTTATATCCTGCTAAATTATCATTTAAAGATGAAATCACAATGAAGATATCAGACAGACAAAGCATCATAAGGGTTACCATATAAAGACCTTCTTTGAAAACACTTGTTACAAAAAATATGTCTAACTAAATTAATTAATTCATTACTATGCTGTAAAATTTTTAGTGAGAAGAGTGGGTATATGAATAGGTAAGGGAAGCCCAGAGAAAGGAAAAATCATTTTAGCTCATTTTTCTTATCTGAAAAACATAATAGAAATGACCTTAAGCATGGATCTTTGTGAATTACATTTAACTGCTAGAAGAATAAACTATAATGCACTATATAACTTTCAAATAAAATAATCTATACAATGAAAGACCACATAAGAGGAGACAAAAAGGCAGAAAGAAATGAAAGTGTAAGAAATAGAAAATAGAAAGTTAAATAGCCAAGATAAATCCTAATATAAAGTTAACTGCAGTATATATTCAACTTATAAATAAGTTGAATTCAAATACCAGAAGACTGGATTAAAAATACAAGAAAATTGAGCAACATTTTTTTCTGTTTGATTTATTCTTTAATAGGAAAAAGATTGATAATAAAAGTTTTAAAAGATATAATATCAATCAATATGAACTATAAGAAATCTAATGTGAGTGATTTAAAACTAGAAAAAATAGAATGCATGATAAAATTCATCCTAAAACTTAAAGAGGTTATATATACTAGTAAACAAATGATAGATCAAGAATATATAACAATTCTGAACATGTAGGTACCTAAAATGGACTGTAAAATATGTGATAAAACAGCTGCTAGAAATGTAAAATTGAAGACTAAAAAAATTTAAAATAAAAGATTACTATTTTACTGCAAGTTTCTTAAAATCATATAGGTCAAGCAGAAAAAATCAAGGAGAGATAAAAGTTTAAGTAATGCTATTAATGAGTTCACACTAAATGATTTAGGAAGAACTTCATATAAAACAAACAAAAACAACAACACATTTTTTGAAGTCATGAGAATTTCACAAAGATTTTCAGAAAGAATGAACACATTATTCTAAAGAAACAATAACATCATATAAGATAGAGTCTCCTATGATAATGTCATATGCATAAAACCAGTAGCAAAATTTTGTGTATGTGATTATTAAAAACAAATTTAAGAATCATATACAATGACCTTTGAATTAAAGAGGAAATCAGGAAAAATGTATAAATGCTTAAAACCAAAATGAAATGACAGTGAAAACAGTATTGCTTTAAGTTAGAGTGGGTATTTTTGCAGGGCTCCCTTTAGAAAGTTATTAAACCAAAAAGCTATTGTTTGGATAATTGAAGGTGTATGTGTGGGTATATAATTTTTTTTTTTTACTTTTCTATTATGGGATATTTCAATGGTGGCAAATTAGAGTACTCAGAGGATGACCTTAAAAGAAGGAGGCTAAAATTGAGAGAAAAAAAGAGTTACATGTTGTTTAGAATGAGTTATATTTGATGAACTTAGGTAAGATTATATCTACAAAGCCATATAAAGGCACACCTCAGAGAGATTGTGATTTTGGTCCCAGACCACCAAAATAAAAAGAGTATCCCAAGAGAATGAGTTAACACAGTTTTTCTGCTTTCCATATGAGTTATGTTTACACTATATTGTAGTCTAGTAAATGTGCATAGCATTATGTCTAAAAAGCAATGTGATACCTTAATGTAAAAATTCTTTGTTGCTACAAACCATCATCTGAGTCTTCAGCAAGTCGAGTTTTTTTTTTTTTAATACTAACACCAAAGATCACTGATCACAGATCACCATGGCAAAAATAATAATAATGAAAAAGTTTGAACTATTGAGAAAATTACCAGATTGTGACATAGAAAGGAAGTGAGCAAATGCTGTTGGAGAATAATGTGGATAAACTTGCTTAACACAGGGTGGCCACAAATCTTTAATTTGTAACAAACACAATGCTATGAAGTGCAGTAAAACAAGGTATGTCCTTAAATGTATGTGTATCTGTATATGTGTACGTGTATGTATGTGTGTGTATCAGGCTAAAGGTTAGCTATAAAATGTCAACAGTTAGTGTCAGGGGCTTTTACACTTTCTTTCTGTTTACCTTAAAACTGTCTGTATGTCAGAATCACCTGTGGAAGCAAAAGAATGAATAAAATTCGGATACCCAAGACCTACCTCTGAAGATTCTCATTCAGTGGGGACTGGATTTCCTCTATGTTTAAAAGTCTCTACAAGTGATTCTGATACCATGCATAGACACAGTGTAAAGCTTTTGCTTTATGTGAAATAATACCTGATTATTTTATCGTCGTATTAATGTGTTCTATTTTTGATGGGTAAGTCTGCTGTCAGAATGCACTCCCCACTCTGAAAAGAGAAGGAACTAGTACTCTCTACTGCCACGTGGTGGCAGCATACATATATTGCAAGGGCAGTTATACTGTAGGCGTCCAATTTAATGGAACCTTTCAGAATTGGAATACTTAAAGAGATCATGTAGTCAAGCTTCCGACTTTTATAGCTGCGAAAACTAAGGCCCATATAAATGAAATGATTGATCTCTAAAGAGTGTTAGTGAAAGAGTATGAAATAAAAAATATCTATGAACTTCTAATTTTGTGCTATTTCTTTTAATCTTAAGTATTAACTCAAACTTCAGTGTGACAGGTTTAGGATTGAATTCTTGTTCAGATTTATTGGTTGCGTGCCTTTTAGTAAGTTGCTAAAACACTTTGAACTTTGCTTTTCACATATGTAAAATGGTGAGCCTTGACTGATACAAAGTATGAAATAGCTTAGCACTTAACATACACAAGTACTTAGAAAATTTTGGCTCTCAGCCCTCTTAAACAGCCTCTATCCTTTAGCAATAAAAGTGTCTTTCAGCTAGAAAACCACCCCAGAGCTGACAATGTTCTGGCAGGAGACATAGGATTCTTTTTCTTTATATCTCATATTTGAACTGCATTTAAACATCAACACCTCTTGTTTATACAGTATTAATGAATTTGACAGATGAATTTTAAAAAGTAATATGCAGGAATTAAGCTGCCTTACTCTAAAGAAATATAATTCGATAGTGATAGCTGGAATGATAAGCAGTGTTTGGACAGGGGGTTTGTATTGGATATGAACGACCTGTACTCTTGTTCTCCTATTAAGAATAAATAGAATCCTTTCAAAATTTACTTTCAAGGGTGGTTATTTTCATCTGACTCAAGTTACCTGCAAGAAAAATACAATTTCCTGAATCCTTGTTTAAAAGATTTTTAGTATAAAACAAATAATTTTCTGCAACATTTCCCAAACTTTTCATCATCAAATTGGGTGAGGTTTCTCAGTGATCATCATTTCACAACAGTATCTCCATTTTTACCTTCTTTAAATGAATTGGCCTAGCAGATGTGCAATTAAAACAGAGCTTCATCCTTAACATATTTTACATTTTGTATTCAAACAGTAAGAAGAAAACAGGATCAGGGAATTGAGCCATAAAAGTGAATGGATTACTGATACATGCTACTTTATGGATGAAACTAAATGAAAAAAGTCAGACACAAAAGGCCACATAGTATATGGTTCCGTTTATAAAAAATGTCCAGCATAGGCAAATCCATATGTCGGGGGAGGGTGTAATTTCCTTGGTTCTGTCTCGCTGCAGCAAAAATTTGAAACAGCAGACCAGTGTTACAGTGTGGTTACAGCTCAGTTTTATTTGGCAAGC